GGGGTGGTAGTCATGCCGCCCAAAGTGGACGATGATGGCATGAAGCTGCTCATCGAGAAGTTGAAGCAGCTGCCCGAAGACAAGGTTGGGAAACAGTACCCGCATTGCTTCATGAGTGGTTGCTGATGTATGCGACCTATTGCTTGAGGACCTCGTTAACTTCAAGGTCACGGAGGCCGATGATGAGATCGCTGACGCCGTGCAGGACGAGGACCTGGAGCTGAACAAGGAGCTCATGCTGCTGTCCCTTGGACTTCTGCAGCTGCAAGCTTGTCTGTGTCCATGGGTCCGTGTGTTTTGAACTTAGGTGTCTGCCGGTCTTCGAAGAGACGGGGCACATTTGGAATGTGCCGACTTTGCAGAAGGCCTTTGCCACTTTGAAGGGCGAAACTTGGCTATTTCCAGTTTTTGCGCTCTACAACATGTACATGCCTGCTGGCCAAACCTCAGGACAAGGATGGGACGCACAGCAAGAAGTACGCTTGCTGGGCTTTGGCGGTTCGCGGAATGGTGGCTTGCCTTAATTTCGTCGGTGTGCGCCGGCGGGCTCACGATCCGAGCTCCTAGGCCCAACACATCGTTCGCCAAGCAAAACGGACTTTGCAATCGCAGAACGCGACCTTTGCGGCGCTAAAGAGGAAGTGCGGTCCTCGTCTCTTGGCGGTCAAAAAAAAGAAGGCTCCACAAGGACTTCATGTTGCATGCGTGTAGTCCTCTTTGCATCGATGTTGACATTCGTGCATCCCCTGGCTTATAATTGGCAGTGTGCATGTCAGGACTCGACATGGACAATGCAGAGACGCAAGCAATGGACACGCAAGGACGGCCAAAAGTTGGTGTACCCCCTCCCCCTGATCTGCCAGCTGAGCTGTTGGCCACAGTGATTGCTGATGTGGAGAGTCGATCTAGCATTGTGTTCGACCACACGCTCCAGTTCAAGAAGCAGTTCCGACAACATTGCAGAGGCAGCATGATCAAGCACACCATTTGTATGACATGTGCATGCTTCAACAATCTGCATGAATCGGGCCGTTAATTCGGCTCGAGATCCAAGCATGCAGGAGCCAACTTGATGAATGCTCGCGAAGCAGAGGCCTGCATGTTCTCATTCCATTCTGTGTCGATCTGTGTGTGCATTATAGTTCACATGATAGAAGCTATATTAATATTAATATCCCATCCTAGGTTGCCGCAGCCGGCATGGGGGACCCGCCCACGGCTCCGGAGGAGCGGGACGATCTGGAGACACAGCTCGAAGCTGAGCTCGAGGCTGGGTCCGTTGTTCCCCTGATTCAGATGGGTGGCTTTTTTCCGAATGTGTTGTGTACCAGGAATTCTTCGAGAAGAACGAAGACGATGAATATGCCCGGCAGCTTTTGCAGCACGCCAAGAAGGACCGCCTCATGTATAGTGCGTTGCATATGAGATGGACATAACTTTATGTTTTCGCGGCAGGGTCCGTCGGCATCGATTTCGGATGGAGGCCATAAGGACCGAGAGAGTGTGTTGCATTTGAGATGGACATAAGTGTATATTTTAGCAGTCGGCATGCAGGAGCCCTCGGCGTCGATTTCGGATGGAGGCCAGCTTAAGGACCGCCTTTGAGAGAGTGTGTTGCATATGCGATGGACATAACTTTGTGTTTTCGCGGTCGGCAGGAGCCCTCGGCATCGATTTCGGATGGAGGCCTTAAGGACCGCCCCACGCAGGGTGTTGCATGTGAGACGGATAACTTAGTCTTTTTGCGGTCGGCAGGAGCCCTCGGCATCGATTTCGCATGGAGGCCAGAAGGACCGCCCCACGCAGGGTGTTGCATGTGAGACGGATCGATAACTTAGTCTTTTTGCGGTCGGCATGCAGGAGCCCTCGGCATCGATTTGGGATGGAGGCCAGAAGGACCGCCCCGCGCAGGGTGTTGCATGTGATACGGATAACTTAGTCTTTTAATCGTGGTCGGCAGGAGCCCGTGGCATCGAGTTCTGATGGAGGCCAGCGCGGCCGAGCTGCAAAGGTGCGATCGATCAGATTTCGTCAGACATGTGCCAGATGCGACAACCACGATCCTTGTTAACAGGCCGGATCCTCTGGAGACCCGCCGGGACACTTGTCTTCCCCTGTATCTCGGACCAACATATGTATTTTTGTATATATATGTTGATGCCAGAAATCCAATAAACACGTACGATGGAGCTCAGGCTGCTGAGAGTGCGGAGGAGCCGAAAGCCGCTCGGTATAGAACCTTTGTTTTTTGTTGGATGTATGTACATGCAAAACTTGTTGTGCTGATGCTGCTGTTTCGAACACACATGCAAAGGAAGGGCAAAATGCAGTGGACATGGACAATACAGGGAAGCCGGGAAGTGCTTCTCGATCGATTTGGACAGTTTGGAGCAGCTGCTGTTGCACATGATTCCATGCACAAAAAACTATATCCGAGGCAACGGAGGCCTCGCCGATGTTGACGGCGTATCGCTTATTTTGTGGAGCGGCGAGGCGAGACGGGTATGGCTTTTCGGCTGCCTCTGAGCTGTGGAAGGCCTCCTCGATCCGGGAGGTTTTTGTCGAGTCTCTCAGTGAGAAAGAACGCAAAAAGCGCAAATTCTAAATATGGCATCGCCTGCAGTTCTACCGCAAGGTTGTGTGCAACCATCGAGACTTGCAAACTGCATGTGAGAAAACTCGTCATTGCATGTGTGCTGGTCATTGCATGCATGCTGAGTTCTGAGCACTTTCGAAGCTAGCTGTGACACAAGTCGAGATCCGATGTTGCAGTTTGGATCATGACGTCGTCGATTGCCTCATCCCCTCACGCAGACCAGCCGTGTGTCCAATGAGATGTGTGCATGTGCATGGTTCAGCCTATTTCAGCCTGAGCTTTATGTGACTGCATCTGCCCTGATCTGCTGGAGCGATACATATAGCCAGATCAAATGTTTTATGACAATGCATGCGTGTGCAAACAGACACATGCATGCACGGACTCATATCCCAACATGGTGCACATTTACATGTCGCGGCCCATGGTCAAGCGCCTGCTGGCCTGCAAAATGCCACGAGTGCTCATCCTCGTGTTGTATCTCGTCACATGCTTGGAGAACTTAGACTCTTAGCAGGCATCGATGTAATGGACATATATGCCGACCGTCATTCTTGCTCGAAGACACGCAACTCATCCAAATGGATTTGCTGCATATCAGGACATGCACATGGAATACCTCGACCTCTGTGAGATGTTTTCCGGAAAAGGTGTCCCTTGCCGGCCTGAAGTCCCATGTGTTCGTGCGTACGAAGCATGTATGCATACGTCTAGATGTATGCATCGATCTGCGTGAGGCTGTGACAGCCGAAGGTCGCAAGTGCGGGCTCATCTGTGGAAGATTGGACATTGATATCGGCGAGAATATGGACTTGTCGAGCCCGACCGGGTTTTTGCGACTCAATCTGCATCATGATGGTGGTTGGTGTTGGTTGTGTGCAGTGTGTCGCTGTTCAGTATGTCATGTTAACCGGAAGCTGAGGACACATCTGATTATGCTACTCCTGTTGAAACCCCGTGGCCTCCTGCTGTTGGCCCCTCCATGTGGCACCTTTTCCTGGATGTGTCGATATTCCACGGGCCGGCGGGATATCCTGCCCGAAGGCCTGTCTTCGGAAAAAGTGGTCCAGGCAAATCAGCTTGGGTCCCGGCTGCTCGCTTGCATGTGTGCATGTCCTAGTGCGTAGTTGTGTAGCTCGGACGGATCTATGGTAATATCTATGCCCCATCCACTTCAGGACTGCTCTGCTGTGGTATGTGGCATCCGCTATGTCGATTTATATCATGCTGGAACAGCCACAACATGGTGAGACAAGCCTGTTCAAGATGCCACGCTTCCAGGAGTTGGCGACCATATTCACGGTTCCTTGGCAATGTTAAGCGTGATGCTTCTTTGCATTCACAGCGTGCGCTCATATTGACTGTGCTCAGATCCACAAAGTCGCCTTCAACATGGCGGCTTTCGGACTACATAGTCTGAAACCGACCTGGCTTTGGTCAAATGACCCACAGTGTCTTGGACCTTTTCCGCGCGAGATGAGCGATCAGGATCGTGCTCGCATCAAAGAACATCAAGGGGAGACGACGAAACGAAGGCGGATCTCGGAGCTTTGTATGCAATGTTTCCCAACAAGCCTGAATCATGCATGGGTGCATACTGAAAGCTCTTCGATCTCAGGATGGTGAAACCACACGTGTGTTATCGACCGGAAAGAAGGACGCCCTCCGGAACACGCAGCGACTTGCCGAGCAATTGTTCACCGGTTTCGCTGTTCCCTTTTCTTTAAATTCGGCATCTCACATCTGAACACGTATCCTGTGCATGCACAGGACCTACACGAAAACCTTCGCCGAGGCTGTCATCGCTGCTTGTGTGCATTGTCAACAACAGTGATGTCCATTTTGCTACTTTGCATCATAGCTGTCCTGGATCCTAGAGCTCAGGATTCTTATCGGGCATTGCCAAAAATATCTGCCGAGAGATGTTTCGGACAACTTTCCGCCGAGGAGGAGGTTGCTGAGTTCAAACTTGTTTTGTTTCCGTCGTTACACGATTCCATGCATTGCTACACCCAGCATGCCGCCCAGGAGCAGAACATCCAGCTACTGTTCGCTGAACCAATAGAAGATTTTTGGGAGGAGGCCACCCATGATCCATGATTCCTATATTTCTCAAGCTAAGTACCTATATATATATATGTATATATATAGTCGTTTCTATATATATATATATAGACAGGATCAACCGCTGCATGTTCCATGTTCCGGAGGCTGGCATACCCGAGTTCATTGTGTGGATGAAGGGCAGTCGTCATTTGCGATTGCCGCCCAGCTGGCCGGCGGACTGGTGATTGATGTTGATGCAGCAGTGAACGAATCTTAGATGGATCGAGCTTCGGACACCATTGAACTTCGGTTCCTAGACTCGGCTACCGTCATCGGAACTGCTGTCAGCCCAGGTGTCGAGTGGCAATATATGTGGGTCACGATATCGATGACTGGAGTCGATCGATCCGGGTTTCTGGCATGCAGTGTNNTACAGGATGACCATGTTGTGTTGTTAATTATTGTACCTAGCTGTATATATATATTTTGTGCATCCTCGATCCATCCGATAGCTGAGGTTCAGCATGCTGGTATGCCTATATGGAATCATGAGGCGAGGCATAGCTGGTACAGTGGCAAGCAGCTAGTCTGCGACATCATCGGGTTGCATAACTGAATCATGGCTTGCTATATATATGTGAGCCACACAATGTCTGCTGATGCATCCGAGGTTGTTCCATCGTGGGCCATGGAATGGATGCTGTGCTGCTTGAGAAACAATTGGATGAATCACGAGCCTCTGCACGCTGTGGTGCATGCATGCATGCTGCGTGGCATATAGTCTCGACATGCATGGGACCACATGCTGTGTCAGGGTGTTACGTGTACATGTGACTTTTCATGACATATTCTCAGGTATGGGACCGCATGTTGTGCCATGGTGTGCCGTGTGCATGATCGAGCACATCGTAAAGCTCATCCATGCTCGTGGGTACTGTGCTACATGCTGTTGCTGGACACAATGATGCCATGCATACCACATACCAAGGACCGCACGCAATAACAAACAACAAGCACACGCACTGACAACCGCAACATAGCGACGCTTAACAACAAAAAATATAAACAAAGGTTCCTTAAACGACACCTAACAAAAAAACTAAGAAAAATATAAAAACTTGTTCGTTGATACATCGCAAGACATCCCGGCAATCCGCGTCAAAACGCGTCAAAACGCGTCAAAATGCGTCAATCTACATCATGAACAAAACAACAACATCGGAAGCACATGTCTGCATCAACATTGGCAACCGAAGAGCTACCTAAGAACAACAAACAACAAAAAAAAAAGAAGCTAATTTACTGGTGGAAACACACAAAAAACGCGAGTGGTGCCAGTATATGTCAGTGCAAGTACATGTGTGTCTTGCTACACCTGCATGATCTCTCACGATATAATCCGCTATCTCTGTTTTCTTACCAAAAAAAGCAGTGTTTGGGGTATGGTTCAGAGCCATGCACACGTGTTCGGCACATGGCTCGTCCTTGAACCGTGGACTTCATCATGCTATGTCGGTTCAGTCCAGAAAAGATCAGTGATTCTGGTAGGGAATGAACGAGACACCACCTTATATTCGTGTGTTATGCATGAGAAAAGAGTGGCTGGCGCCGCCAGTAACTTATGCATGCACAATCATGCACGCACGTGGTGCATGGTCTACGCATTCGGCTGTGCCTGCATGCTGCATGTTCACGCACCATGTACATGTGCATGCACAATTATACATAGCTAGCTCATATTGTACGTACATATGTACATACTCGATCATGGTGTGGCTGCTAGATACGTACGTACATATGTACATACTCATGTACACGTGGCTGCATGTGCTGCATGCACAAAATGCAATGCATGCTGGGGCTTGATGACAGGGAATCTGGCCCAAGCTGCCGTGCCGGCGATGTCGAATAAAAAGGCACCGCTTAAGCCGGCAGACGAGAAAGCACGGAGCATGGTGCCTTCCTGGGACCAATCTATCTTGGGGAGCATCCGTGGGCTCACAGAGGAACAGAGAAGACGAGTGGAAGAGAAGCTGAGCCCTGTCTGCTAGGAAGGTGCTGCTGCTATATAGTGCTGCTTTTGCTTCTGCTGTTGTGGTTGTTAACTCTGATAGCCGAGGAAAGCGCTTCAAATGCCAGCAGGTCGGCCGTCGACTACGGCAGCTCCTTCAGTGCCCGTGGCTCCACCACCGAAGTCGTCGGCTACAACTGCAGAACCAGTTCCGTCGCCGAAGACCAGTGCAGTTCCCGAACCTGTGGCTCCACCGAAGTCGTCGTATACAGCTCCTGCAGAACCAGTTCCGTTGCCGAAGAGCAATGCAGTTCCCGAACCAGGACAGCCGGTCGTGGCTCCACCGAAGTCTACAGCTCCCGCAGAACCAGTTCTGGTGCCGAAGAGCAGTGCAGTTCCCGAACCAGGACAAGTGGCCGTGGCTCCACCGCCGAAGTCTTTGACTACAGCTCCCACAGAACCAGTTCTGGTGCCGAAGAGCAGTGCAGTTCCCGAACCAGGACAAGTGGCCGTGGCTCCACCACCGAAGTCTTTGACTACAACTCCCACAGAACCAGTTCTGGTGCCGAAGAGCAGTGCAGTTCCCGAACCAGGACAAGTGGCCGTGGCTCCACCACCGAAGTCTTTGACTACAGCTCCCACAGAACCAGTCCTGGTGCCGAAGAGCAGTGCAGTTCCCGAACCAGGACAAGTGGCCGTGGCTCCACCACCCAAAACTTTGACTACAGCTCCCACAGAACCAGTTCCGCCGCCGAAGAGCAGTGCAGTTCCCGGACAGCCGGTCGTGGCTCCACCGTCGAAGTCGTCTACAGTTCCCGCAGAACCAGTTCCACCACCGAAGAGCAGTGCAGTTCCCGGACCAGGGCAGCCGGTCGTGGCTCCACCACCGAAGTCGTCGACAGCTCCCGCAGAACCAGTTCCACCGCAGCAGAGCAGTGCAGTTCCCGAACCAGGACAGCTGGCGACCCCGACTCCACCGCCGAAGTCGTCTCTTCCGAAGACCCGACCGCTTGGTTTGCCCAGTGCAGCCGTGCTGGCTTCCTCTGTGATCGTGCAACAGTCCCATGAGCTGCTGTTTTGGATGGCGAAAGTTCTCTACAGTGGCAAGGATGAGGACTGGTTCGACAACAAGGACATGGCGGCGCCCAGATGTCAGGAACACATCCTTTACGAAGCATGGGAACGTATGGTGCAGGGACCTGATGGCAACTTTGTCTTTGGTGAAGACTGTCTGGCAGATGACATGGAGAGTTTCTGTCAATTTGTATCAGAGACTGTGCCGGGGCTTCCCAGATGGGAAACACTCACAGGCAAGATGCTTGCCGACGTCGCCGACACCCAGCTCGAGAATTCCAAGGAGGATGCTGAGCCTGAGCGGCCTGCGTCGCCTGAGCGGCCTGCGTCGCCGCCGCTTAAGAAGCAGCGCCCGGTTCGGGCGGACACCGACCTCAGCCTCACTGCAAAGTCTGGATCCAGCGGCGATTTCTCGCCGCTTTTTCAGGACCGAAAACATATTGTATGCCACACATATACACAGACGTATAATACGTGGGGCCTGCAGGTTAGTTAAATACTATAGTTCACAG